ATGTTCTCAGAGAATTTCACGTACAGTATGTAGAATACTGGATAGTAAAATAATGCGCACTTTTGACGTCCCGATGTTCCATAAATAAACACAATTTTCAAGGCCCAAGCCTAAAATGTTGAAAGGTGACCAGTCGACGACGTTCAAATAAAAATCATCCTGAAAAATGGAAGAGAGAGAATTAACATTATCGCGTATATAAAATGGTCAAGATTTACATATTCACCTCCAGCATCAGTTCGCTGCAAAATGTAAGCATTTGATACGGGATAGGGTTTATAACTCTCTCGGACTCTCGAGATGTTACCATCAAATCCTCAACGTCACGAGATAAAATAGATGTTGAATAAGCATCTCTGAAAGGAGTATCGAGGACATGGGAACGCTGCGATTGGGATTGGAACCTGAAAATATTCTGTGCAGTTGATGACGATTGTCGAGTGTTAATGCGTTCGACATTGGACTTGCGATAAGGAAACATAATCCTTTGTATTAAGGTCTTGTGAAGGTAATTGTCCACTGTAAAATATTATTATTTAAAAAAAATCCGATTAAAAAAAAAAAACGCATGCACAGTAGTGTCTTATTCTTCATGCTTTTCGTTTCCACCTTCGGGGTCTCTTCTCTTACGTTTGGATGGATTTAAATCTACGGATGGCGCAGGATGATTCCGAAATTCGGATATCATATTGCCGGTTCTAATAGGGATGAATCTACACAGTAAAATATAAATTTTTGTCTATATATCCAAAACATTGAATAAAGGATTCATGTGTGTTATAGCAAGGATCTCAAGCTCAACCAGTTTCATGCGTACCTATCTCTGTAAAGATGTGTTGTTCTGTTCGTGCCTGCTAGATTAATTCCGCTCGACTCTTGCGCGAAAGAAGTATCGGATGAACAACTATCATAAGTGAATAAAGAATCAAGATCTTCCGAAAGTTCAAATGATGTTGATGAGCTTTCGCGAGCTTCATTAACGCTGGTGATGAAATTCGAGGAAATGGGAAGGATGTCTAAAACTGGTCTGTCCTTAACGTGCGGCATCAGGAATCGAATAATTGAGTAAACAATGAACCGATGTTTTAGGAAGAAACGGATGGCATTTTATATGAACCCTATTCGGTAACAGCTAATTTTTTGAGTCTATTTTCATGTGGTAAACAATACACCTTTTATCACTAATTTCGATCACTTTTTCTGTTCTATTTTTTAATGACTACGCATAGTGTTATTTAATATACTCTCCGATACTTCGCACAACTTCCATCGCATGAATAAACTAATAATAAGCTTTGTAAGCTCCAATCTTGATCAGTATATCTATCTCTTCGATCAGAGCTGACCTATTGCATATTGATGTCCAGGATTTTATGGATATCTTTTCTTTAATGACTTCTTAAAGACTTATCATAAGTTTAAAATTTGCTTTTGTAGCTATGGAGATCTTGTTTCTTGGTTAGATCAGAAGAAGTCTATTTATTTTGATATGCTATATTTAGCTTTATGTTTCTGTTTTTCTTTATACTTTTGAATGTGTTTTTTTTGCTGCATTAAGAATATGTTGTTTGAGGCTGATTAAATTTTGTTTATGTCTTCTGGGTGTTATATCATGATCTTGTTCTATTTAGGCATTAAAATGGTTTAAACAATTAATTTAAAGTCAAAGAAAATATTTATCAATTAAATCTTTATATATTATACAGTACATTAAATATATATCACTAAAGATATATTTCTAACTAATTTACTTAATTTAGTTTTAAATTTGTTTTGTTTCTATAAACACTAAGTGCAACTTCAGAAATGATTTGTTACTTCATTAATAATTCATATAAAATTCTTTCAACTTTCAATATTATTATTTGTAGATTACAAATTATTTATCTGAGTTTTAATAAAAAAAAAATTCTTTTCACTAATCCTTTGACTATGCATTAAAAAGATGTTTACAAGAAGTTTTTATACTTCTTTACTAATAAAGTCTTAACATGTTTATTAAACCAATTTGAAGTATGACTTCAAGAATCATTTTTACACTTTTCCTTTTGTTTACAAACCCTTTACTCAAAAACTTGACTTTCAGTAACCAAAAAAAGTCAAATAACATCTTTTATACCAATGGCAAGAAAGTTTCCAGGAAAAAAAATTAACTATAAAATATTTGGAGATTTTTCTAATCTTTAAAGTAAAAGGTTTATAAAGGTTTTTGTTGTAGTTAAAAAACTTATTTTCTTTTTTTTAAACTATCCTAGCTCTTTTAAAGCTTTCACTTTTACAATTTTCTAGGAAATTTTGTCTGCTTCAATTTGACCCTGAATTTGGTTAACACAAATTCTTACCAAAGGTGATTGGTTAATATAAAATATATAGTTTTTGAAATATAAACAAACTTTTATAAATCACTTTCATATGTTTTAATAATATTATTTATAATTAAAAAGAAAAGTTTATAAAAAGAATACCTTCCAATTAAACAAGCTCTCAAGAAAAATAGTCATAATATCAAAAAACAAATGAAGAATAAAAAATATAATATCTCTATCTCTTAACAAGATTCTAAGATAATAAGAATACTTTTTTTAAAAAAAAGTTGAAGTTTTTAAGTTTTCATCTCAGTTAGACAAAGTTTTGTAGTAACTTCTTTATCCTAATCAGATTACCTTTGTTGTAATATGATATTGGTATCAATAATATAATAAGCAAATCTATATATCAATAGAAAAATAAATTTTTTAAATTTTTTTCTTGATATTTTTATACTTAAAAATGACTAAATTTTTTAGATAATCTAAAGTTTTAAGAATATTTCAATCAAGCAAATACCTTTTGAGAGAAGGTTATTTACTTAAATAAGAATCTTTTAAAAAACTTAGAATTGTTTTCTTTTTTTTTTTTTCTTTTTCCAATACGTAATTTAATAATATATTATTTTTTAAAATAATTTATAATGTTATAATTAATTTATTAAAGAAGTATAATATTGTTTCTTAAATCTAACTTAGAGTATCTAGTTTGAACTTTGTTTTATTTAATTTAAACTAGCTTAGTAGACTCCTCATGTTTTTTAAATAATATAGTTCTTTAATTAATAATGTATAAAAACAAGTTATCATTACATGAATAGTTTATATAATGTTATAGATATATGTTTTTGATATTTTAATAAAGATATGCTATAATAATATAATTATGGATTAAAAAAAAAAACAAAAACAGAAACTCAGTATTTTTATAATAGTATTTAATATTTATTTTATTTATTTAAATAACTATTATTTATTTCTTTTTTTTTTCTTTTATTATTTATTATTAGCTATATGTTTTTTCTTATAATTTTTTTTATAATATAATTTTTAAATTTAAATGCTACTTTCAACTCTTTATATTATATTTCTTATACTTGTTTTTATAAATTAGATATTTTAATAAATATTTAATTATTTCTTTATATAATTTATATATTGCATATTTTTTTTATTTATATTTAATCATCTTATAAAACATTGACTAAAATACTTATTATATAAGGATCAACTACAAGAAACTTGAAATAAGAAAATAAAAAAAACTTTTAAAGAGTTTAAGAAACTTTATCAAGAAAAAAAACCAAAGCAGAAGAAAAAGATATTAGATTAAATATAAATAATAAAAAATAAATATAAAAATTAAATTAAATAAAAATACAGTTAAACTAATAGAAAAAACTTTAAAACCAATTAAAATATATTTAGCTTTTATGCAAAACTAATTAAAAGTAATTTAATAAAGAAAATAGTAAACTTGAAATGTTATAAAAAATAAATTGAAAAAGAATGAAATAAATAAAAGTAAAAATTCAAAAAAAGATATTATTAAATTTGAAGAAAAAATTGAAAACCAAGATATAAGAAAATTATAAAGTATAAATAAGTTTAAGGAATTTATAAAAAAATAAGATAAAAAAACCACTAAACTTATTAGTTCAAAAAATCAAAACTATAATGGTCAAATAACAATATTAAAAAAAAAAAGTTAAAAGATAAGATATTTAATAAAAAAAAAATAAAAAATAAAATAAAGTAGTTAAGATTTTAATTCTTGTTAGAACTTGTAGAGTAATTTATAATATTAATTTGCAAACAATAATTTTTTTTTAACCTGCAATTATATTGAAATAGCTTATCTTTATTAAGATACTTGAATATCAAAATAATCTACAAATCTTTTTATGTAATGACTAACTCATCTTTATATATTATTAGTTGAAGGGCTACATACTTAAAAAATATGAGGTATTTACTAAGTTAGTTTAGATTAAACAAAACTAAGTTTCAACTAGATACTCTAGGCCAGATTTAAAAGACTATATTATACTTTCTTAATAGCTAAGTGCAATGTTTTTAAGTTAATTAAGATTATTGTTAATAGTTTGTTACTGTTAATTATTCTGAAAAATGATAAATTGTTAAAGTTGGTACAGAAAAAGAGTAAGATGAAAACCAACTCAATACCTTTCAAAAAGTTCTTGTTTAATTTACAGTATCTTTTCAAAAGAGATCTTGTTTAATTGAGATATTTTCTTTACTTTATTGGAATCTTAGAAAAAATCTTCTTTATTATTATCTATAATATTACACAAGTCTCTATTTAAGTATATATCAAATTGAGATAGTCTAAGAAAAACTAAAAAATCTTAACTTACACTTTAGGAAGCTTTTTTATTATTTGAGAAACTTAGAAAAAAGATAGAATTTTTTTGTATAGATCTATTCTATCTTTTAATATTATAACTGTTTTCTAGGGATCAAATATATATAGTTGAAGAGAAACTTCTTCTAAAACTTTTTTTTTTATATTATTTATAATATAATAAGGATACATAAGTATAACCAATAAAAGCTTGTTTAATTTTTTCAAAATTACTATATTTCATATCGATCAATTATCTTTGGTGAAGATTTGTATTATTCAAAATTTAAAAACAAACTAAAATAGGTAAAATTCTTTAGAAAACCATGAAAGTGATAACTTTAAGAGCCTAACAAGTAATTGAAAGGAGAAAAAATAAATCTTTTTATTATTAAAAACCTCTATATACTTTTTACTTCAAAGATAGAGAAGATCTTCAAATATTTCATTATTAGTTCTTTTTTCTTTGGAAACTTTCTTGCCATTTATATCAAAGATATTACTTGCCTTGTTTTTGATTAAAGAGAATTGTAAACAAGTAAAAAGAAAAGAAGTAGCTCTTTAAGTCACTATTCAAGAAGTTTTAAAAAAAATGTTAAGACTTTTTTGGCAAAGAAGTAAAAAAACTTTTTGCAAACATCTTTTCTATGTGTGATTAAAGTATTAACAAAAAGAATTGATTTTAATTTACTATTAATATATATTATATATATCACTTACTAATTGTTTAATAAAATATATATAACTAATTTAAAATCTGCAGTAGTAATCTGCAGGCAATAATGTTAGAAGTTGAAAGGATATTTACCTAAACTCCTAATGGAGCAATAAATTACTCTCAAAGTTGCACTTAGAAAAGTAAAATAACTAAGACAAGTGAGTTAGTCAAAAAATTAACTTTAGCATTTTATGTTATATAATATAGAAAGTTGAAAATTGGAATATAAAAATTGTTTATAGCTTTATAAATAATAAATAAAATTAAATAAATTTTTAAATATACAGTATATAACAAAACTTTTTGGAATTTTTAAAATACATATTTTTGTTTATAAATTAATAAAAAATTATTCAAATTATTTAAAACTTAATAATATATTTTTCAAAGTATAAATAAAAAAAAAAGTAAAATATATATTTTGATCATATTCTCTTTCTGCTAATCCTCTGATCACACACAAAAAAGATGTTCACAAGAAGTTCTTATACTTCTATGTTAATAAAGTTTTAACACTTTCCTTAAACCAATTTGAAAACACTTCAAGAGTCATTATTACTTCCCTTTTCTTCTTATTAATACTTCTCATCAAACAAAAACTTGACTGCTAGTGACTAGAAAGTCAAACAACACCTTTTCTACCAAGAACAAGAAAGTT